CTTACCTATGTTTAAGACAGGCCCAAAAACGCTCGAATCATCAACAGTGGAACAGTTCCAGCGGCGATATCTGAACTGCCACTGACATTCTGCGATTCCCAGCTGAGCCCCGCGCCCCACGTGTGGGATGTGGTCCCTATAGAGGTAGCATAGCTTGGTCTGGCCACGAGACAGTCCAGCAAGCTGCGTGCAAAGGGGCCGTGTTCCTAACAGGTACGCTTGGGGGTTCCTGAGAACGTCAATACCTTGGAGACCTAGATTCCTGTAAGAAAATTATATAGAAACGCATGAAAATACTGAGGACTTGAAATTATACAATAAAGGAAATGATTGTGAAACTTCTTCAAAATCGGTATTCATAATTTCTAAAGGATCCAGAGGATTTCATTATACACGTTGTCATAAAAACTCTTATTTTAAAACTTCCTTTCATTAAGTAAAATTCGAGATATTAAACTGTAACGCAGCAAGCTACCATCATACGATTCTATTTTAATATAACAAACTTTTAACTCAAACCGAAAAAACTAGTTTCCGTAAATCTGTGTCCACGTGCGGTTAGATGGACAATCTCAAGATCTGTTCGACTGTTTTCGAACTTTTTTCAAAAACGATCATTCTCAGTTAATCATGTGGAATTTGTTGAATATGTTAGAAAGGTAAAAATAGTTCAATTAAACTGTTTACATGATCCAACTGACACCTTGATGGATGTCCAATGGTAATCGGGATTACTTAGCTATTCGGAGGATGCAACTAACACCTTGGTAGATGTCCAATGGTAACCAGGCTTACTTAGCTATTTAGAGGATGCAACTAACACAATGGTGGGTGTCCAATGGTAACCAGGCTCCTTTAGCTGTTAAAAAGATGCAATCAAATACACGTACAAGTAATCATAATGCAAAGAAACACTGAATGGATGTAATAGAACTCAACAAGATACAACCACAATAAGGGTAATTTTTCCTTTTTTCCCCATATTACACATCAACACTGACTACAGGGATTTCAGTTAATACGACTTCTATTTTCATAATAGCACGCCAATATTTATTACTGGGAGTTTTAACTGATTTTTTATTTGAATACTTTAACTGAAGTGTTTAACTGATTTTTTGTTATTAGAATAATGTAAATGAAATTGTTAACTTATTTTTTATCCGAATACTTTAACTGAAGTTTTTTATTCGAATGCTGTAACCGATATGTAAGTAAATGAGAGCCGGATAAAAAAGAAACATTCCATTGCGTAGAACAAACCAATTAACAGAAACTACACTCTTCCACGAAACTTATTTTATTTGTGTTCGATCTGTTAAAAACGGGAATTTTACATGTTTTGTACTTCCCAAAGTGAAGACCAACCGGAAAGACATGTAGTAAACAAGTAGTACCTTGTTAATGCATGCAATCAAAAGATCCACACAAGACTCGAGTATACAAGATATGATTAATGCCTGTATATTCAACATCATTATTAAGATATTTATCATCTCTACTTTAAAATGAAATGAAAGCCGTAAGCTACCAACGCTGCTGATAAAGACTCCAAGTGATAATGCATCTTGTTATATTTTTTGTCTAGCTTTCAGACACTGATTCCTATTAACATTCAAAATAGTAATTGTTTTTATGTCATTAAGTACCGGTGGGGTCCAAAAACTGCATCACCTTGAGCTGTTTTATATGTTTGCCTGTTACGACACTCAGTGGAAAGAACTGACCAAAATAACTCGGTGAGATCACTAATTTTCTATGTAAAATAACGGAAGACAGCGGTAAGTTTAATGACTAATAGTGCTAAAATCCAGGGTTCGATTCCTCGCGGTGACTTTGCTCTAAAACAAACAAAATACACAGGATATTGATTTGTAGAATTAACTGACGATTTTGTTTGTTTATATTTTCATATGTTATTAGAGAAGCTGTAACCAACAAACTGATTGGTCTAATTCAACATAACATATAACATAATGTTTAGGGACAACAAGGGACCTGTTGGTCCATCTCAGCTGTCCCGTCTATACTAAAACTATTAAAAAATCTTAAAACCAGCCCTATCATTCATATAGTTATCAAGTTTTTACTTAAATTTACTGCCTCCACAACATCTAAAGGCAACCTTTTCCAGAGGCCAACCACCCTTTTAGAAAAATAAAACTGTCTTAGCTGAAGATGAATCCTACCCTGCCAGAATTTATATTTATGTCACCTAGTCTTACTATTCTCACCATTAAATATGAAAAAGATGATGCATCAACACTATCAGTTCCCTTAACAATATTAAACAACTCAATCAAATTTTCTATAAATGATGCATCAACACTATCAATTCCCTTAACAATATTAAACAACTCATCAAGTCACCCCCCTAACTCTTCTTTTTACAAGAGAAAAGAGTTTCAAAGATCTTAGTCTCTCCTCATATTATAACCCCTCCATCTCAGGCACCATTCTAGTACCCCTCCTCTGAACTGTTTCCGACAATTCAATGTCCTCCCTAAGGTAAGGAGCCCAAGACTGGACACAATACTCCAAATATGGCCTAACCAGTGACCTGTACAATGAAATTATAACATAGATAGATTTGTATTCAATATGTCTGTAGATACAACCTAAAATCCTATTTACCCTACCACTAGCAACAGCACACTGCATAGATGGCTTTTGAGACTGATCAACTATTACACCAAGATCCCTTTCTTTTATGACACTGTTAAGGTTATTCCCATCCTAATTATACTTATAATTCAGGTTATGATAACCCACATGCATTATCTTACATTTATTATAATTAAAACCCATCTGCCATTTATTTGCCCAACTCACTAAATAATCGAAATCCTTTTGTAAATCAGCAGCATCCTCTTCACAGCTAGCCACACCCAAGACATTAATATCATCTGTAAATTTAAGTAATTTATTGACTATCCCTTCATCTTTGTCATTAATGTAAGTCAAAAAGAGCAAAGGTCTTAAGACTGAGCCTGAGGTACCCCATTTGTGACATTAATCCAGTTTGAC